TAATTACACCCTCCGGCCGATAAGGCACCCTCCTATCCTCAAAATTGCCACTTCGTTCTTATCACATCTCCGTCTTCACCATGTTATCCACCACCTTCCTCGAGACCGTCCTTTTAGTCCAGTGACCCTGGTTCTTGCCCTGAATTATAGACTCAGCAACAGATGTGATGTCCTTCAACATAAGTCACGCGGCCAGAGGAATTAACAATCGAGAAACGCGTTGACATGAGAGCGACAGAGGATAGAGCCAGGAAAATAGAGCCGGAACGCGCAAGCTGAGTTTGAAAACGCGCAAACTCGATTTGGAACCAGCTCCACAGCGCAAACTCTCTAATAGTAGCGGACGGGGAAATGGGATCGAAACGTCTCCCTCTTAAGTAATTCTGCAGTCACTAACTCAGAGATGAGAGATGACAATGACAATGATGTTACCAGTGAAACGCCTCGCCGAAGCAAAGTTGAACAGGAAGTTATCAATGTCAATATCCTTGAGTAAGCGATGTATGTGTTATCAGGGCCGTCAACGGAAGAGGACAATCGTACCAAATGAGCAACGAGATTGTCGTGAAGGTAAGATATGCCCTATTCAATAGAACGCGATAGAAATGAGAATATTATGACAACACATCCTGAAAATCAAGTTCTCACCTCCAGAGCTTGAACAAGAAAGTCGAATACCTCCTCGAAGTTATAGAACCAAGGACAGTTGACACTGTCGGCTAGAAACGGAAACACAGCAAAGGTCATATCTCCCAGATTTAGTTCGTCTAACATGGGTACGCAGTGGTTCCCGGCATGGAAAGCGCGTTCGCCCCTAGCCAAGCTGCGAAGAACTTCTACATGCTCTTGACCGTCGTCGCCTTTCCGAATCAAGCGAATGACAACATCGCGGTGATCAAAGGTCCGAGCAGGAAAATGTATTGCTTTCTAGAGATTGTCAATTTTGGAACCGTGTCTATAAATGGGTCCTCACAATTGCAGGAAAAGAAATTTCGTTCATTGGAATGCGAGGGACAGAATAGACGAAACCGTCAGGTGAACGGAATCCTGGATGAGATGTTGGAGGAAAGGCGTTAACCTTGCCAAAAACATCCCACAGATGGTACCCTTGCCCTGCCAGCCACGGCTTTAGTTTATCCCAGAGCTGCCAAGAGAGGGGACTCCCTTGCTGGGAGGAGAAATCACGCCAGGCAGCAAGGGTTTGAGGGAGTGATTCAGGAGAGGGCTCATTCATGTTCTAGAAATTTGTGTTTACTCAGTGAAACGCGACTTGGTGATGCATTCTGCAGTCTTGTAATGGTTCCAGGTTGAAAGCAAGCGGCTTGCACGGCGAACTCGGAGATCGATCACGGCTTGCAGCCGGAAGTTCGGCAAACCCCGTGAGTCCCAATAGGCAGCAAGCCGATCTCTCGCCAACTTGCTCGCCAAGGGAAATTATTCTCTACGCGACCTGTGCAGTGCATCGTAGTCAGCTTTTTACATGCCCATTTGGCATCCATGAAGATCTTATCACACGAGTTCTGGTACCAATAAGCAGTTACAGTAAGCAAATATCTGCACCCAACCTTCGCTTCACAATTGTATTGTTGCAAGTTTCGCTATCACATCAATCGAAATCCGAACCTCACGATGTGTGAGGGCGTTACTGAGCAGGCTGCTCTCCGACTGCTTTGGCTTTCTGTTCTGTCATTTCCTTGAAGAACTTGGCGGTGTATGCCGAGTCCATAAATTCATTGACAACCTTGATCTTTGGCTCCGTAGCATCCTCCGTGAAGGAATATGTGAAGATATATTCGTTGGTGTACGGCAACCCGGACTTGGTGCGTCCATTTACGGCGCCCTGTATTGTTCAAAATTCAATAGTCAATATTCTGGAGAGAACGAGGGTAGCATGCACTGTACGTGAAGGATGATCTTGTTAACTCCCTCAGTCAGATCCAGAATATCGAGCTAAATTCGAGGATTAGAGACGATATTGTGATATCTTCACCAAGCGGGCTCACATCAAAACGTTCAAAGGCTGGTAATAAACTCGTCATACGGGCGCCCCATTCTGCTTTATCTAAAACGGGCCGACCCAAAGACTTTGGGAAATAATAATGTTGGTAGCTGTCGTCGAGGAGGGCAATAATGCTGGCTGCGTCCAGTTTGCTGAACGCGTCGACATATTTCAGCACGACGGACAGTTGAGCTGAATGATTTGCGGGTGGCGTGTAGGGCATGGCGGCTGATGAGTCGTGCGTATGAAATGGTACGGCACTATTTAAACATCCTTCAATACGGCCCGAATCGGCACTGGACAATTAGTATCCTATTCGCAGCTGATCAGCGCTCAACCTGAAATGGACTGAGAAGCTGTTTAGTATAGACTGTATAGTTCAAAATGTCAAAGTGCGAATACATCGGATCCGCACCATTCGGAGGGTACTCTAGGTAGTCATACCATTTCCTATGTGACGACTAATATAGGCCCAAGTCGAGGAACAGTCCAGTACTGGTGGTCGTCCGCGTCGTCTCTACGTCGTGGTGTTCAGATGCCGAGTCGCACTCCCGGCGCAGTCATCGCGGCGGACTGAGTCGGGCAGAAGGAAAGAAAACTCGGCCGAGCCGAGCCGACCAAATATCCAATCAGAATATTCATAGAATATTCATCCCTTCTCCTGAACGTCCTAAACCTCGCCATGCGCTACGCCTATATCAGGTCATGGCTCTTTCTCTCTTTATCTTTCGTATATGGTCAAGCAGATCTAGCTCTTAATTCATCATCGACCTCTCTTTTCCTCCCTACTACGACTATAATCACGACTTCCGTCAATAATCACACCACCACCATCACTTCACTCATCACGGCTGCCCCCTCCCAGAGTACTAACACTACTGCTAGCACTACCACCACCGCTACTCTCCCTTCTTTAAGCAATACTCCAGTCTGCAGTGTGTAGTTTCTCATTTGTTCCACAAAGCAATGGCTCAGTTGCCATTTTCAGCGGTTCAATGCTTTGAGCAGTCAGTCTCTGCGGCCGGCTGCGATTCTGAGGCTGCCGTGTCCTGTTATTGCACTAGGTGAGCCTGCTTAGTAGTAAACGGCTATGAAAACCTGAAAAGAATTCTAGAGTGAACTTCACGTCTGCTCTCGCGGAATGCGTTTTCAATTCGTGTCCCTCGGATCAACTTCAAAGTTCTGAGCAGCTGGCCTCTGTGAGTAAAGATTCGCACCTGAGTCGGTCAGCAGTCTTATGCTATCTTTCACTAGCAATTCTGTAATGTTCAAAACGTTACACTGTCCTTTCCCACCCCTACGTCTTCCTCTACTTCGACTAGTTCTACGTCGTCTTCCTCCACCCCGACCGGCTCTGGCACTACGACCAGCAGCAGCGCTTCCAGTTCTCCCAGTGCCAATGATGCGGACAGAAACATTCAGCCAGGCAGGCTATCGGCCCTTTTACTTATCCCATGCCTTCTGTTGCTTTGAAATATGGACATCGTTGTCGATCTTGGACCATTCGTTTAGTACTAGTGCACCACGGACGCAGAGATTCATGTAAATTATTCCGAGTCCTTTCAATCACTTCATCACGCACTCATATAATTGACTACATCAAAAATATACATCCACAATGTGCTGTCTCTGCCTCGAATTAGCATTGATTCGTTTGGAAGCTGCTTCTCGCCCAGGTTCATAGTCATATCCACAAGACTTTAACCTGACTGTTCGAAGCCTTCTCCAGCCGTGCCAGGAGATTTTATCAAAACTCTTGGTTGTCCTGATCCAGGGGTTATAGCTCAAGTCGACGAACGAAGCCAATGGTAATAGACCAGGAAGTCTCCAAAGTGGTACCAACGGTAGAGTTGGAAGATCTATGAGAACAAGATGGGTGATGGTAGGAGGTAAATGAGAGAGCATCGGAGGGGGACATGTTGTGGAGATGAGTACGAGATGTTGGAGAGGTTGTACCTCCGCAGCAGCGAGGCTTTGAGCCCACGAGGGCTCCTCTAAATTGATGGCACTGAGGTTGGGAAGGTCTTCATCCCACTCGGCGTCAGATCTATCAGGAATCGACTGAGGATTGATTCGAGGAAGGATGGTTGACAATTTGGCACCGGGACCGCTCAGAATCAGCTCTCCGTCCGTCCCCCCATCTTGATATGACGCGAGGAGAAGTATGTCAGATGTCGATAGGGGATCGTAGACGGCAGCATAACGGCAAATGTCTCTTCGTAAAGAAGAATACAAGTACGGGACCACTTCTTCGAGATCTCCATCCTCTACGATCACTCGGATGCACATGTCATGCAGTGTAGGTATCCTCGGAGGCGATGAAGAGGTGTATGGCGGAGCATGACTGAAGAAGAAAGAGAGTGCATCTTGTCTCCAGTCTACAGATTCGAACCGTGAGCTAGACGACCCCGAAGCGAACTGCTCGCGTGATTGAAGCCAGCTTGGAGGCGGCGATGGACCTGCGACTCCTTTGGTAAACCGACTATGGCGTGAATTTGGGGTCAGTGCATTCACACCATTTATATTCTCTCCTGTAACGCCATTAAGGCCTGGTGGGAGTGAGGGAGAGGATGTGTAGGATGTATTGTGGAGATGCGCTCGGGATCGAAGGAGATTCTGATTTCGTCGGAAATCTTCACCGCTGCCAGAAAGAGCCATGAGAATCGATAGGACCGATACATGTCATTGTCAGAGCTCACCGACGGACTCGAAGGGCTTCGCTGACTGACAATGGTGTCCTCTCCTCAACCTTCGGCGGCATCGCGAATGAGACAGTAGTTCAGGGACAAGTCAAGAGGCTTCGGCTCCTCTTCGTACTCTCTCCCAGATGACTCAGCCTCCGAATAGATTGTGGATCATTGGGGCTGATTTCTCGACGGGATGGTTGCCCTGGCAGGCAGGAGCGAACTCGCGGGAACCGAATCCGAGTCAGTCACTTGGTGGACCGGCATTTGGGAGTGCATTTACCGACTATAATTAATGAATGTTCCAGGTACCACAAGCCCGTTTAGCTCAGTGGTAGAGCGCGCCACTCGTACGAGCACCAGCTCAAAGCGACATGGTGAGGTCACTCGTTCAATCCGGGTAGTGGGCATTTCTTTTCGTCATTTTTCTTCTGTGCTTGTCAAACTCGCAATTCGCGGATTTTGAGTTTTGAACAGTAGTACCCTTTGCCAGTTTTTTACTACCATGTTCCTGGTACTCTCCGTATACTAGGATGTAACCACTTAACATCCAGTTTAATCCCCTTTGACGCTGTCCAATGGTTTCCACTTAGGCGGTTGTATGCTTGTCTTCATGATCTTCTCGTTTTCTGACATAAAAGTGGATTATGTTTTATGGGTGGTCCTCTTAGCGATCGTCAGTACTGTACATGACAATGGTCCAAGAAATGCAGAGCTCCTATCCTAAGTTCTCTTTTACATCTGTTGTGTTGTTCTCGGCTTTCGCCGTTGACTCTTGCTTTGTTCCCTCCTCTCATTCAATTCGCCCTTGGTCATTAATCATCATGACCGCCTTTGACGTCTCCAAACAGCCCGAGCATTTGCGTGAGGAGCGTATAGCAGCGTTTGTCGCGAAGCTGACGAGCACCAATGATCCGCGCCTCAGATTCCAGATGTTACTGCAAGGTGCAATTGAAAGCGTGGCCCACGAATTGAGGCGCGAAATCCCAACGATGTGAGTACTGGTTTGTTCTCCGAAAGCCCGCGTTTGACCATATGAGTAGGAAACCTGAGACCATGCTTTATAGCCTGTGGCATGAGCTTCCGGAGCCGGAAAAGGTTTTACGGAGCGCCAGGAAGTCTGTATTGCGGATGCCACCTATTGAATATGACGAATCTCTGAATCCTGATAAGGGCGCGTCTGTCGTGGATCGTATTTTCGAGGCCGTTCGACTGGATCTTCGTCTTACGCTTATACGCAAATTAGTAAGTACTTGAGTCCCTCTTGCCGTATTTTCTTTGCTAAGCGACTTCTGCAGGCGAGGAAGGCGGAGAAAATGACGAACAGCATCAACAGTGCGAATGACACGGCCAAGGTGCGCGTTGTTCGTCGGGTCATCACTCGACTCCCTGCAATCGAAGAAGACAATTGATTATTGACATGGCATGAAGCGCCATCGCGCATCATGGGTTGGCCTTATGTTGAGCTTACAAAGGGTTGTCTGGGTAAGACTGGGTTATTCTCGACCGCGATCGAGATTGAGCATTTGTGCGTTACTGCTTCGCCACCAAAATTTAAATCCAAAGTACGAGAGCTGAACTTCTACGAACCTGCAGTGTAAGATATTGTGAATTTGTGACTTCGATTCGGAAGACTGCTCGCCATTTCAATCCCCTCGGATTTCTTGGAGTATTCTTCATATTTGTCAGGCATGTTCTTAGCATTGTCTGATACAGCCTCCTCAGAAAGTCCTCTTTTCAGCGTCCACTCCCTGCTACACGTCTGTGAGCTGGGTCACAAAAATTGCAGTCTTTCTGTCCCGTGCTTATGAAAAGAAGCGCAAGTTGCTGACGATGCATAGCAATCTTGCACGAACGAACGCAGAAAGTTCATATAATATTCCAGTCATGGTTGAACTCCTGCATATCCGGAATTGAGGCCATGCTAATCGTCCTGCTCTCGAAGACGGACTGTAACATCCGCCAGTCGTGAAGCTTCCCATTTGTATCATTCTTCTTTTGTCAACTCGCGATGCAGCAATTTGGTCTGTGAGTAAATACCTCGACGTTGGGAGATCAGGAAATAACGCTCAGGACCTTGAGTTCCTTGAACGATCCGATGCCTTCGTTTATGCGATCTTCTCTCTTGAAAAAGCTATGAGCGCCACTGCTCTGCTAAACAGAAATCTGCTTTCGCTGGATGGATCCTGACTCTGACAATATCTAACGAGTGCCACCTTTCGAGTGCTTGTGAACTGGTCCTATACTTATTAGCCGCCTCGGCATTATACCAACCCCTTTGACGTGTCTCTTGTTCATGAATGCAGCCTCAAACGCCCTCCCTGTTTGTTCCGCCTCTGCTGTCGGCAATGCTGAACTCCCCGAAGAATCGTGGAAGCTAAACATAGCTCAGCTTCGGGGCCAAAAACACAATCGGCACGCTGCCTGTATGGATCTGCCACGCACGCTGGCGATCAGAAAATGGGTCTGGGCTGCCGGGACGACTCGGAATGTTCGTGATACATCCTGCTCGTCACGATGATTCGTGGAAGCGAGAAACTCCGTCGACTCGAGTCTTCAGCGCTTCGACAAAGCATAGCCACTCTGGGTCGCAACTTTACCTGGAGTCACTCATGCATATCTCAATAGACATGTTTATCGTGCGCTATCATCTATGCAGTATCATCATAAGAATTGTAGATCAATTATCCAGCAAAGTTCGGCTTTGGACTTGTAACATTCGAATATTTCTTGATCGACGTGTGTCATAATATTTGTTTCGTTGAAACTCCTTCGTTCCATCACAGGAGCCGAGTGGTGAGGTCAGTCTTGTACGAGGAAGCGATACGAAATCTCCCGGTAGTCGAGCGAGCTGTCTATTTCCGGACCAACGCCACCTCATTTAAGACATGATCGACGTCCGACCGTCACCAGTATTAGTAGTACTGCGCCCTCGAGCGCAGTGTCACCTCTTTCATATCGTCCCCCTTTCTCGAACCCTCTGAAGCCATGTCTGCCACCAACACGCCTCTATATGAGAATCTCCTTGAATATCTGTCGGAACCCTCGACGTGGGATGCACGTCAAGAAGCTGTACGTCAGTCAACTTGCTGTATCGGGACCCTGAGCTGGATGAAGCATTTAGGCACTCCTTGAGCCCTATACATATCTTACATCCAACCCCGGCAAAGAAATTCGCACTAAACTCATCGAGGCGTTCAATCTATGGCTCGAGGTTCCTCAGGAGAAGTTGAAGATCATCGGACGCGTCGTGAGCATGCTGCATACGGCTAGTCTTCTGTAGGCAGATCTGAATGCATCTGAGTAATTGCCACGACTTATGATTTGAAGGATGGACGATGTTGAAGACGACTCCCAACTGAGACGAGGCATTCCTGGTGCGTTGCAGTGTCTTACACATCTACAGCCTCTGCTGATGGACGATTTTAGTTGCGCATAAGATCTATGGCATCCCCCAGACGATCAACACTGCCAACTATGTCTATTTCCTCGCCTTCAAAGAGCTGCTAGCTCTTCGGGACTCATCGCCGACAGCATTGGGTTCACCACCACAAGATCTAGACAAGCTCGTGACTGGTACGTTCAGCGACTCGGAGATCGGTAGGATCCAACTCAACTCGAAGCATATAGACGAACTCATTAACCTGCATCGTGGTCAAGGTTTAGACCTTCTTTGGAGAGACAGTCTTTCCTGTCCTACGGAGCAGGAGTATGTGGACATGGTCAACAACAGTGCGTATGCATTAACCAACTTCATTGCACATCGCTCAAGGAATGCCACCTTAGAAACGGGAGGACTGTTCCGTATAGCGATCAAGCTAATGATGTCCCAGAGTACCTCGAGAGTGTACGTGGATTCACTTTGATATACGATGTTCATGACGCTCACATGTTCAATCAGAAATTGTATACCCTTGGTCAACTTAATCGGCGTGCTCTTCCAGATCCGCGATGACTATATGAATCTACAATCAGACGAGGTACTGAAACGATCTCAGATGCTTCCGATCTCCAACTGATTCAAGTTGCAGTATGAAGAAAATAAAGGATTCTGCGAGGATCTCACAGAAGGGAAATTTTCATTCCCGATCGTTCACTCCATCCGGGCAGACACGACTAATCGTCAAGTGCTAAGTAAGGCTTTCATCGAATGATTTTGGGCTTTTCGTATTGACGCTCTTTCTAGATGTCCTTCAAAAACGACCCTCGACTCCGACTACAAAAAGATATGTCGTCAACTACATGCGTGAACATACGCGGAGCTTTGAATATACGATTGGGGTACTGGACACTTTGGAGAAGCAGGCACGTGCGGAAATCAAGAATCTTGGGGGGAACGTGCTGCTCGAGGCGATCATAGATCGCCTTTCCATCACCCATGCCTGATTTCTTATCGTCTGCTCTACATTATTTATCATCTTGACACGCACATACTGTAGCTTTCTGTGTATCGATATACTGTACTAGATCAATCTATTGTCCCAGTCACATGTCACACACCCAAAAATTGGGACAAAAAAATTGTCCCGTCACTTGTCACACAGAGTTTTGGGACAAAAAATTTGGGATAATATAATATAAATATTATTTTTTGGGCTCTGCGAGGCCTCTGGGACAAAAATTTGGGTTATGTCACAGCCAAAATTTGGGCTTGGGACACTGGGACAATATGTTCATTTTTGTCACGGTCACAACCCCTGGGACAATAGATTGATCTACTACAGTATCAATCTTGGTCAAACTTCAAGTGGCTTCATAAACCATGGGCGATACTCATTCATCGGCGACAATATCGATTACAAAGACTACTTTAGAAAGCAGATTGTACGCCCTCGTCATCGGAATAGGGATAGGTCGCCCTCAACAACTCCTTCGCTTCCCTTGCTGGCCTCGATATCGAGGGCTTCTCCGAACCGATGCTGGCGGTGACCTTCTTCACAATAGATGGTACGACATCTAGAGTATAGAATAGATCTGGACTGTTCTCTATCGTCTTTGCAAGAACGTGGCTGCTCTGTGGGCTCAGCGGAGTTCCTGCCAAGAGGTGGCCCCTGTTGATGTTGTCAGTACGCAAATGCGACGATTTTGGATATTATCTTACTCGACTAATGGTCTGAGAAGGTCTGGGAAGGGAGCCATGGCAGAGAACAAATCGGCGAAAGCTTCCACGAAGGGATCTGAACCATGACGCGTCAGTAACAAATCCCGAATAAGTATGTCCATCCTCACCTTCATGATTTTCAAACCAGGCTGAAGATAAGAGACTGATGATAGCTTCTTGAGAAGTCGCGTTGAGATTTTGGTGAGCGCTACGGACGACATTGGCCAGTGCCAGAATGAGGGATGCAGCAATTGGATCGTCGTTTGCGGCTATTCCACCGAGTAACTCCGTACAAATCTGGTCGGCACG